GCTGTGCTCTTGAGGCAGTTATGACAGACCTGGAGAAAAGGCAGGCAAGCAGTGACTTCAATGCACCAAAATGTGCTCAGGCCTCTGGCACCGCACAGAGGCCACCAAATGTTCTTGCTGATGCCATTCAGCTGCTGGAAATGAATCTTTCTGCAGGCAACTATAATTACCAGGAGGGTCAGTGGAGGGAATAGCTGTCTTTCTGAGCCACTGAACCAGAAAATAGGCTTTTGACAGGATCATCATAATCTCAGCCAACATCAACAAAAAGGGCTTCCTGCCCTAATGAAGCTGCTGTGGGGACATCCAATTGCTCTCTTTTCGGAGCTCTTTTGTCGTCCCTTCTTGTGTCCTGCCTCTGACCAGCCCTGGGAACTGGGAGCTCTGACTGCAGGTAGGAGCCGTGGCACTGGAGCTGGTTGTGGGTGCTCTGTGGGCTACCTGTGAGAATGGCAAAGCTGGTCTTATAGGGTGTTTTTACCACTACACTCACTGCTGCTGCTTGCCACCGTAGTGAGTATGCTGGAATATCTCCAGACTGCTGAATGCCTTCCTAAATTAAATACAAATAGAGAGAGAAAATAAGTCAATAATATAGAAAAGCTGATCCTGTGTCCACTCAGGACACAAGAGACACTGCTTGAAATTTCCACATCCAAACCTCGTTCTTTTGCCAGGCTTATCAGTGGGAGATGTGTTTCTCGAGAAAACTGTATTAATTTATCTGATATTCTTCTCCTTCTCCCATCATAACATGTCTCTGTGGGCTCTCCTTGTGCTCACCTGGCTGGCAGCCTCACTGTGAGGGCTGTGAAGGGAGCATGGCTTGCATGAGAGCCGGCTCCAAGGTTCAGAGGGGCACAGGCAAGGTCTTGGTGTGACCAAACCTCCAGGATTGCTCTTGCCACGCAAAGCTGGTGGCAAGGGAACAGAAATAAAACTAGGAGAGATGCTTCCTGCTGTGGCTATGGTTGTGGCTAGGTTGGTGGATGCTCTGCATGTCAACATAACTGCTGGGGATGCAGCCATGCTAGATCTGCCCCAGGTACAGGATTTTCAAGGGCAGCTGGCCCTCATTGCCCTTTGTAATTCAGGGCTAAATTGGGACTTAGTGCTTGGTGCTGCATGGAGGATGGTTGTGCTGTGAACTGTGGGCTGTAACCTATTCAGAACTTCATTGACTGGTTCTTTGTATGTGCTGACTCTTTGTTTTCAATTTCTCTACAAAATCATCTTTCTGTAGACTTGGCAGGGGAGAAAAATCCTTCTGGTGACTAAAAGGAGGAACAGTCTTTTGAAGGTGGCTGTACAGAAAGACATGGTCTGCAGATATAAAGGTTACATTGGTCACACCCTTGGTACCCTGGATAACATTAGATTTAATAGCAGAAAAAAGGACTTAGTGTTTATGTTTGTTTGTTTGTTTGTTTTAATTATTATTATTTATTTAACTTTTAAGAAATCTCCCAAACACAACATATCTGATAACAGCTTAGTTACGTGTCATTGGCCATATGCTCAGCAGGTGTAGGCTGGCATAGTTCTGTGTTTTCTGAAAAGCTCTGTAACTTATACTCAGTCACAGGGCCAGTCCTAAAGTATGCAGAATTGAGTGTTGGTAAACACAAAGACATACTTCCTTCAGAGACTGAGTTGTTGAAGTTGTAATTCCAAGGTTTTTACTTCATTATTTTGCAGCTTAATGTGTCTACAGCCCCTACAACCTACGTTACTGCAAAATCAGCAGGCCTGAACTGCCATTGATGGTGGCTGACCTAAATGAAAAAGTAAAGCAGAGCCAGCTTTGGGTATGTTACTCATCCCAAATGGGAGGCAATCAGCTGCTGTGGACAGTACCTTCTTAACTTCTTAAACAGCCCCAACTGATTCTGCCAGTGAGCATCCAGTAATGGCCTCTGTTGCATTGGTTTAAGCTGATTCTGGACCTTGATCTAAAACTTGGTTTTAGGGTTTGATTTAGAATGGATTAAAAATTGTCTCCCAATTTAAGTTGGGTTTAACAAAGCCACAGTTGTTTCTTCCAGTCTTAAGCCAAAACCATAGTGGGCCACTTGAAAAAGGAAAGGGGATGAGGCAGGTTCTAATTTTATTTATTTATTTATTTATATTTTTTTTCTCCTGATAAAAGAGGATTTATGAGAGAATTTTGGTTACATCCATGTTTCTGCTCATCTACTTGTCCCCACGTCAAATTCTAGCTGGTTTCAAAAGGTTGGTTAAGGGATACAGATCTCAAAGACAAAAAGTTCCAGCAACTTCTGTGCAAATATACATCAGGGTAGGCAAATAGATGTGTGTAAATTTAGTGATCCGCCAAGGAAGTAGCATGAGTTTAATCGTATCATGCTCAAAATAACCAGAGGGAAAAGAGCCACAGGAAAAGTGTTTTAGCTCCACTTGCAAGATCTTGGTTCTTTAAGCACATCCAAGCACCAAGAACATCTAACCAAGCAGAACACTACCAGCACAGGCTGTTTTTGCTAGTTGATGTTGTTCATAAGTAAAGCACATTTTGCTGCTGGGAAGCCTGCAAGTCTGTGTGTGTTTTCTAAAGTGCCACTTGCCTGGTCTTGATGAGGCCTTTCAGTTCTGTGTGTGTGAACTCCAAGTGAGGGGCTGTAAAATGTTCCCACCCTGTACTGGCAGGTCTACAGGCAGGTCAGGATGCTGAGCAGTCTGTATGTGCCTACAGTGGCCATGATTAATGGGACAAAACCAAAAAAAAAAAACAACCAAAAACAAAAACGTACACCATGTCCAGGCTGAAAGTGTAATAAAAATGTCCTTTCACTCAATACAATGCTAACTGCACTGAAGTAGTACCATTAGATGAAAACAAGTTTTATTGTTGCTAATATGTAACTAAACCTGTCCCTCTGTTCCCTGTTCGTGACTTTCATTTTATAATATTGATATATTCCCATGGAAACCTTCCTGCTTCTTTCCTTTACTAGAAGGTATTGCGTTGAAAGCCATGTCTGGACGGAATCACAAGTTGCAAGAATATTTCTGCTGGTTTTGGACCTCACCTACAATGGACTTCACCTACAATGAATTTCCTGTAGGAAATGTCTCTCCATATCTGTCCCTCCTCATGTTTCAGTTTGGTAGAACATTTTTTGTTTGGTTTTAAAAGAAAAAGAATGAGATTTACCAATAATCTCTAATATGTCTGACTGAGGGGCTATTATCTGGTATGGTCTCCTATTACTGTGATTATCTGGTATGATCTATTACTGTGATGTGAGACAAAAGAGGTGTTCTTGAGCCCACTGTTATCCTTGTAATAGGTAAAATCACCTGCTGTGAAATGATACCAATGCTATGGTAGAGACAGAGGTTTTCTGGCTTTAGTAGGATCAGAGCCTAGAATACAATTAGCCCTTCTCAGTTCATTCTTTCTTTGCAGACTAAGCATTATTTCATCAAAGGGCATGCCATTTAAGAGAGAGGATAGGAAGAAAAATAAGGTAGAAATCAACTCTGAAAAGAATTATTATAGTAACACCGTGATCTGCACCATCTGTGTCCTCCTCTGTTCTGCAGCCCCAGCAGTGGAAACAAACAGCTATCCTCACACATTTGATGCTGAATTAAATTGTGTTTCATTTTGCTCGTACTGAGAATAATTAGTCTGAAGACCTGCTCATTTATTACTTGAGCTGTGCATTTTGTATTGTAGGAAGAAGAAACAACCTTGCCTTCAGTGTCTTTGCTTAGACTAACGTGGCATATACAACTGAATCGATTCCTGTCTAAATTCTGGGGGAGCAAACTGATTGATGGGGCTCATGGTCGTGGTCACTGGCTTCTCTGCCAGCAGCAAAAACCTTGGTTGTTAAAGTGTGGCTGTGGGGTCATCGTGTTCCAGTGGACAACGTGACTGCTCGTAAGGGAGATGCTCACGTCTTCCTGCTTGGAAAGCCACCTGTCCTTCACGTGCCCTTGAGCACTTCATCTCTTTCACTTCTTGCTCTGGCTGGAGTACACTAACACCTCCAGTGATTTGTGATGATTAGAAAGGAGCAAGGGTGTCAGGGACTGAGGTTCGGGAGAAGAATCATGTCTGTAGTTTGTCCTTTTGAGGCCACAGTTTGTCACCAAAAATAATTTCTGCCTCGGCAAAGCTGGCGGTTACTTGATATGCCTTAATGATTCTCAGAAAGGAGAATCTTGTACAAGGAGAGACACTGTCTATCCTTGTTTGAGTGTATATAATAGCCTAACCTGCTGCATTTCTAAAACATCCTTCTCCATAGGGTTTAGCAGGATCCAAGTTTTAAACTTTGTGAATATTGGGACAATGGGAAGACCATAGCTTGTGCAGGTGGTTCAGTTATTTTTAACAGGTTACTTGCTTGAAAATAGTTTTACTCGGTCTTCTCCATTAGCCAAAGTTGTTTGGGTTTTGACCTGGCTTGTCAAAAAGTCTTTCCAAATATTTTAGGAACTTCTGAGTAGAGCATTTTCTTTTCGCTTCTCTACTTTTTAGGAATCTAATCCCACAAACTTTTTTGTACACTTATTTTACTATCTTCGGTTTCCTATGTGGTAATGTGAGATAACAGTAACGAGAGTGCCAAACCAGCCTGAGGTGCCGTTTTATTTTGGGTTAGGGGCCTTGCAAAAGTGTATTTAGCTGTACAATGGGACCAGCAGAGTCCCACAGACTCCACGGACCAGATAACCCCAAAACGACGGTGGGCACACCATGATTTATCACACCCTGCTACCTCGAGGGAAGAGGGGCTCGTGTGGTGTCCCAGACTCTGCGCTGCCCTGGGCACACTGTGCGCCGCACACTGACCCCTCCAGGGCTACGACGAGCCCCGGGGGTAGTTTTTGGGCACCTCCCTGCCTAATTACTGACCCAAGTCCCCCGGGAAGGGGCGAGATCCCCAGGGGGAGGCGGGCGGTGCAGCGGGGCTTCCCTCAGGGCTCCCCTCAGGGAAGCGCCGCCATTTCGGCGACCGCGCGGCCGCCCCACAGCCCGACAGGGGGCGGCCGAGCCGAACCAAGCCGTGCCGGGGCCGTGCCAGGGCCGTGCCGTGCCGAACCCAGCCGGGCTTGTGGGGCCGGGGGAGCCGCCTCCTCGCCTCCACCTCGGCTGTGTGGCGGGGCAGACACCCGAGCGGGCGGCGGAGAGGCGGAGGTAAGACAGGGGCGGCGGCGGGTGGGTGCCGGGCTGGGGGACGAACTTCCCTCGGCGGCGGCAGCGGGCGCCTCCCCACCCCCCCCAGCCCGATTTCCCCTGTTTTTAGCCCAAGTGGAGGTGCCCCCCCAACTCCCACACACACACGCACTCCCTCTGCCGGACCCCAGCTTCCCCTTCTCCTCCGGGCCGGGTTTGGCTGCGAGCTCCGTGCGTGCCCGCTGGGTTTTGGGGGGTGCTGTGCTCGGCAGCCCCGGCACCCCGCAGGGCTGTGCGGGGTTTGCTCGGCGAGGAGCTGGTCCCGCAGACCTGCTGCTTGGGCTTTGCGGGCTGTCTGGGTGTCTCAGGCACCCTGCTTGAAACCCAGGCAGGTTTGGAAAACCCCAGCCTGGCGTCGCCCTCCCGACCCTCTCACCCGCACCGCCAAGGGAGAGGTGAGAGGAGAGGCATGTGGACGGGCACCGCGGGCTGGGGGCTCCCCGCTCACCTCTGTTTCTCTTTTCTTTTTTTTTTTTGGGCTAACGCCATGGTGGCTGCGCTTGGCTTCACGCTGGGGACGAGGTTGGTGAGTTGAGCAGCCGTGCTGCGGACCCGCGTGGTTGAGAGACGGGCTCGGTGTGCCCGGCTTTGTGCTTGGTTTGCTCCTCGAGAAGTGGTTTGTGGTAAAAACTTCCTCGTGCACTGGAGGGAGGCGGATTTTGAGATCTCCACGCACGTCTTTGCATCATCACGGTGTGATAACCTGACAGCTGGTGTCCCAGAGGCTTACCCTGGGCTTGGTGCGGAGAAGTGAGGAATTGCTGGTGCGAGGACCAGCAAACCCGAGAGGTACCCGCTGCTGGCTGAAGAGCTGCAGCTCAAGCATGGAGAGGTCCTGGTTAGTGGGGCTCCTGGGGAGCCCTGCTTGCAGTTGGTCCTGCAAACCATCTACCTGTCTTCTGGCAAGAGCACTGCCAGATGGCATCCAAAGACGTAGAAGCCTTCGTGCTCCAACCTGGTGGTCAGATCAGCCTGTTCTGAGGCTGGTTGTGGGCAGCACTCATAAACAAAATGTTCCAAATGATGCTGGGGTGTGTCCTGAACCAAGTCAGAGCAAGAACTGGTTGCCTCTTTGATTATCGGAGGGATTAATGGTGGCTGAGGATCCTTCCTGCCCCTGCTCAGATTGCAGTAATTTCTCATACAGACAACAGGGTTGTTTTTATTCCTCAAGCCATTTAATTGCATTTTTACTGTCCTGGTTTCAGCTAGGACAGAGAGATAATTTGCACAGGTATAATTCATCTATAACAAGGGGTGCTGTCACTGCTTGTAAAGAGAGGAACGGAAGGAGAAAATCTTATGGACGTTCTTGAACTGAGGAGTTCACAGTCCAGGTGCTCTTCAGGACGTAGGCGGAGAACCTGTTACCCTCTCTCCCACCATAGTCAAGCAACTTATCCTAAGTTTCCTATCCATCTGCATACTCTCCTGAGTGGACCAACCTTTGTTTCCTTCTCCTCTCTGGGGAGGAGGGAGGTAAAAGTGTTCCTGGCATGAAAGAGGAAGAGACTGTGCTTTTTGTAGCAGAGACAGTGTGCAGATCTCAGAGCAGGCAGGACAGAAAGAAGAGGAACACAAGGTATGCAGGGTGCAGTCAAGCAATACTGGCTTCCAGAAAGTGCTAAAGAGTAAAAAGAGGGGGATGCAGAAGAGTATGGTGTTGTTTGGCACCAAGCAGCTAGGAATTAGGATTTAATACTGTTTGCTACAGTGTTGTTGTAGTAGCCCCTGCTGCTTAGAACAGATTACTGAGCAATGTAAAACTTGGGACTGGACCAAATCACTTCAGCTCCTTTGCCGATACTTTGTCACAATAAATGTTTCTTTATCAGCTGCCAGCAAGCTACTCAGCATCATTCAAGATCCCAGAGGAAGGTACTTGTGTTCTGGAACAGAAACTAAGAAAAGCAGAGAGGGCTGAGTACCCTGGAAACGTGGATCTCAGAGTAATTTGGAGTACTAATTGTTTAGAAACGTTACAGGAAAACCGTGTGGTATAATTCTTTGTTAAATATTTAATCTTTACCATGAGTCAGGTAAACTGAGTTCTCAGAATACAGAAAAAAACAACGTTATTTTCATTTTTCTGTTTTAGGAAATCATTGATGTTTCAGAGGTACCTTGGACAGACATGAGTTTGTGAGCCTCCTCTGAGCAGTGGACTCGGGCCTGTGCAGGTAAGACGGGTAGAGGAAGCTGAGATGAGTAGGATGTAACTGGAATCTTAATGCTAGCTGGTGTACATTTAAACTTACTTCTGGGGAAATTTGCAGCGTACTACTGCAGTACCTTTATTTGGTGATGGGTAATCAGCATATTAATAGGAAAGAAAAGGTCAAATGGTCACAAAGGAAGGACAGGAATGGCTGAAGGTCTAAGAGTAAATATTTCAGAGAGAGACTGAGAGGCTGTCATTTAAGGGATTTTAGATCAGACAATAACAGAGGGAAAGGTTTTTCTCCCTGTGGTACTTAAGAAGTCTTGCTGCCACATTTCACTTTCTCTTTTCTGCTGAGCTGAGGAAAAGATTCAATAAATGTTAGAACAGGACCAGAGTGTGGGATTTAAAAAGTTGGGGATGGGAGAAGGATATTAAATAGGGTCATTCTGGCTTGTAAACCATAACTTTAGTTTGATATTCCTCAGAAAAGATAAAGAGTGACTTAGCCTAATCAAACATCTTCATGGGAACACGCTTCTTATGAGCAGGGGACCCTCCAGTCTAACCCTCCAGTCTAACCATTAGAGACCTTCCAAGATCACTTTGCTCTAAAAAATGTGAACAGATCTGATTTAAAATATTTGCCTCTTTTGCTGTTGAGGGCATTTTCTTTCTGCGCCACTACAATCAGAAAAAATGCATTTTCTGGTTTTGTTTCAAGGTTGACCGTATGGTCGTGCTACTATAAGAGACAGGTGTTTAACGCAGAAGGTCTGTGGCAAATTCCTTGGCTAGTAACGTGCAGTTATCCAGGTACTTGGTAGTAGATTGCCCCTTTGGACTTAAAACTGAGTCTTTCCTCAGTGTACTTAGGTTGGTTGGTTTTTGATTTTTCTTTTTGTAACTTTAACTTGTTTTGTAACTTGTAATTTATTACCATTTGTGAGTACAAAAACAGACAAAACAAACAAAACAAACAAAAAAACATATCTATCTTAATTAAGCAGCTTTGATGTTTTAAAACAAATGCAGGCAGACAGATGAATGCAGTCTGTAAATCAGGGATTGGAATGAATGCTCAACAGACACGTAAAAAAGCTGGGGGAGGCTTGACACAGCCCACGACCAAATATCACTCTGTGTCTGAAACCAAAGAAACATGGCTGAGGGCTATAAGAAATGAAGTCCTGATTTATTTCTCACTCTTCAGTCGTACAAAACTTACTCCACCTATAAATCTTGGGAGAACTGCAATTTGTCTTCTCCATAAGACAGCTGTCTATATTTCAGAGTGACCCAAGCATTCATTGACCAGTACTGCATGGCACAAAAGTTAGTAGTCAACATTTCAGATAGTGCTTCTCTGCAAAATACACAATCATACCATTTTTTTTTCTTTTACTGAAGAAAATATTCAGGAAACTGTCGAGTTCCTGGATCTGGAAACATAGTTAGGTTTTTCCTTAAAAGAAATTTTAAGTGACTTTAAATCTCTCTATGGATTCTGAGAATCTTACAGAATCCTAGAATGGTTTGGGTTGGAACGGACCTTAAAGATCATCCAATTCCAACCCCTCAGTGGTTTTAACGCCATTTTTGCTTTCACAATTAAATGCCTTTGTTTGTCCCATTCTGGAGTGGCACTGACATGATAATAGAGTGCTTGATAAAGGAAGGCATTGAAGTGGTGTGTATCTATAGTGGTATCAAAACCCACAACTTAAGACAATTTGAACAAAACAGATATATTTTTGATTCTTTGAGTCTTCAGTTACAGTAATTGTAGAAGTTACATGTAACAACAGAACTCTAGGGTTTTTCTTAGTAAAGTGTGGTACTTCATTTCTAAATGATCCTTTGAAGGAAAAGATAGAGATTCAAAGCTCTTTGACTTGAAATAATCATTACACAGCCTGAGATTAACTATGGTCTTCTCTTTGCACACGAATGGAAAGTTGCATATGTGTCCTCATTGAGGGTTAGTACTAAATTGCAAACAGCAAATATGAAAATGGTGTTGTCTATAAGCTATAATAGTTACTTTTTTCTTCTGTAAGATAGAATTGACTTTAACTTGTAAAAGCGAAGATGTTTGCAGAAAGCTGGCGTGGATACTTCTTCAACACCTGTTCCCTACAATTAACAGGCACTAATGAGTTAAGGTTACCTGGATACCGCGAACTATCACCTAATAAGTATGTGTCTTTACAATCTCACTGTTCATCCTTTTCAAAATAAAACTGCATCTTGAAATGTCAGTCACAACTGATAATAAAGCACACATGAGTTAATAGGCATATCTGGTTAAAATTAATGAAAGCTCTTCCCCAGAAGGGCAGATAAAGGAGGCTAATGTTTCCGCATTGGCCAGGGATGAGCTTTTGTTCATGGGCTCTCATTACCTGCACAAAATATCCTTTAATCCCTTAAAGAATTAAAGGAGTCTAATAGGATGTGTAAGGTTGTGTCATGTCATATCTGCTGTACCCTGTGCTGACTCTTGGCCTTTCTGAGGCTGAAATCCAAGTGCAGGATTGAGTAGCATCATCTTGTATTATGTGCAGGGAAAACTCAAGTTCATGGGCTGCAATTCATCAAGTTACTTAGTTGGTTATCCAAAATTGGGCTATATGAATTGCCTACAGTAACCATATATTAAATGCAAAAATTAAGAAAAATTTGGAATGGAATGCTTGATGGCAACAAAAAAACTTCAAGCATCTGTGGTCCCAACTTAGTTGCAAAGTACTTGAATTAGCAAAAGAGAGATTCCACTTTAGAGATTGATTAATGAGCTCATTGCGAATATTCCTAATTAAGCTCCCTATACAACCGGTGAAAGAGCTGACCTTTTGCATTGGTGATTGAGAGCAGACACTTGTGGGAGTCTGAAATCCATTCCCTTTTTCCTATTTCTATCAAACAGGAGTGCATGAGAGTGATGGGTGTGGGCCTGACCACCGTAGTTCTATGTCTAATTTACACAAATAAAATTAGGCAGTTGTAGCTACTCTCTTAGTTTCCCCACACACTTTTTTTTTTTTTTTTGAAGTGAGAATGGATTTTGACATATATCTTTCATTTAAATAAGGGAAAGATACTGGTTGACAGTTGCTGTCCAGCCCCTCACGTCTCAGGCAAAATGTTGAGATTCAGGTAATAGCAGCAGCATATTGAACTTTCTGTCTTTAGAATATTCCCTCTTTTTCGTTCCCGTATAGCCACAGATGTATTTTTTAGCTCTTGCATTCTGATTGAACATGTTCCATTATGGTGAACATACTTTGGGAATCAGATATTCTTAGAAATCTGAAGTGGGAAAAATCCATGTCGAGAAATGTTGTCATACGTAGGGAATGGCATGGAGGCCCGAGGCTTTCAAGGTCTTTTGGGAAGCAGTTAAACCGATGAAGACAGATGTTGATTTAAAGCACGGCCTGGCTCTGCCTGTTCAGAGGAAGCAAAGATGGTAGGGGAGTGGAATAAATTTTAGATCTATGTCCGTATTGTAAGTATTTTCAGATTAATCTTGTCTGGTTATGAACTGAAAGCTGATAGAAGAGAGAGATGTTGTCTATAATAATTTCAACCAACTTATTGTAAAAAGCCATGCTGTAGTTATTAAATATGCTGTAGAGGAAGATGGGTTCTGTATCTCATAGGGATGTGTCTATTTGCAAGATAAGGATCAAGGCTGGAAATGGACTTCTTGATCTTGGAAGCTCTAAGCACCATTATTTTTTACTTCTGAGTTTAAAGAGCTTTGTTGTTATATTCTGACATTAATATGTCAGACAGATGAGTCATGCTATATTCTCTTCTGTTTTGTAAGTTAAAATCTTTGTAGCATACAGGACTCCAGGAAGGTCTGTCTATCTTATGCATCTCTGCACCTTGGACCTCTTTCTGCATAGAAGTAACTAGAGAAGTAAAATCAATGCAGTGTCTAAATGCAAGAGTTTCAGATTGTAAAGCAACTGGCATATCCTGTGGGAAGACCACAAAATATTTTGCAGTGCAGAGAGAGAATACATAGAGGCACTATCCACACCTTTTTTGAAAAGGTCATCTTCAACAGAAGGTGGTGATACCAACCACCCCAACATCCATACCGACATTCACTGAAGTACTCTACTTGCTTAACTTAGACCACTGAATGCTTTTTGTAAACAAGTACCAATTTGAAAAATGTTTGAACTGAGGAATTTAAAGCCTACCAAAATGGGAAAATTGCCAGATTCCCACAAAGAAGCCAAGTATAAAAGATGTTACCTGTTTCTGATGTGTGGTTTTCATAAGGCTGTCAAAAATTATAAAGCATGATATAAGTTCCCTTTGCACGGCTTCCCAGGAACAGTGGCTGTATTGCTTATCTTTTAGGAAGTTGAAGATTTTTTGGAAGTACTTCTTCACACCGAGACCTGTGCTTTTTAGGATCCATGTCTGAAAGCTGTTTCTTGCTTTTTGTATCTCTTCTAGCACGCATGCCTCCAGTTCTTCAATTTGATGATGAATTCCGTTTTGGAATTTCTCGATATTGCTTGTACTCCAAGCACCTTCGGGAAGGTTTCTGCTGAATAGCTGGAAGGTCTGTTGGAGGAACTCGTAGATAACCACTGTGACATTCTTCTTTGTGACCTTTGTAATCAACACGGGAAACCTGAAATCAGTTGTTTCGTTGAGACACGGCTGAGAAAAATATCCACCCATTTTGCGCAGAAAGTTCATGTTCTAGTAGTTTGCTTTGATTCCTTGGAAAAGGCAAACGGGGTGTGAGATTTTGGAGTACAAGGCCAAGGCAATCCAAAGTTGCAGCAAGCTCCTCTGAACCAAGATGGTCATGCTGACAAAGTGGTCAGCATTACTTGCTGTTGTGCAGATCTGTAAGCCTGCAGTTTCTTGGTCATCTTTTCCGTGTTCACATGCAGCTTTTTCATGACTCTGAATTTATTTCCCCCGTGTGACATGTTGGGTATTACTCATTTTGTAGGAATTGTGTTTCTGTCAACTGTGATT